ATTTAAACAAGAATTATTAATAAAATTTTTGAGCTATAAGTTTGGCCAGATCTTTTGAATTGGTCCACTTTAAGTAAACTTAAAGTGGACAAACTCAAAGGATCTGACCAAACTTATAGCTCAAAAATTTTATTAATAATTCTTGTTTAAATAAATCAAGTATGTTCTTATAGTTATAAACAATATATTTATAAAATTTTAAAATTATTTGTTTGATTTAATTTTTTATAAATAGCAATTATTTTTGGGGGTTTGGGATTTGTTCAGGTTTTGTCAGCAAGTATAATTAAAAATATGATTCAAAGATTTCAAAAAAATCATAATTTTATTAATATTTGTCGAAAAATTGTTAGAGGTTTTTCAATACAACTATATCTTCAAAATACTTAAGAACCGACTTATAGTATGCATTGGTTTAATTGAAAATAATTATGTAGTCTTGTGGTATAAAATGAATTCATTATTATTAATGTCATTCTGGCTCGTAGTGAAATTAGTGAAATTACACACTAACAATCTTCTATAAAATTAATCTTACTAGGAGAAAAGACTGATATAAGAGAGTTGACTAAAAGTTCTAAAATAAGAAATATATGCACTGATTTCGTATCCAAAAGGAATGAAAGCATAAATTTGTCCTATCATCATCAGAAAATAGTAACACATGATCAAGAACATGAAAAAAAACGCGTAGTAAGAGGATAGCTGATGTGCTCCTACAAGAGATAAAATTAAATTCATTTCATAAGGTTTTTAATGGCTCAGAGAACTTTCTTGTAGAAATTATAGCTCGACTAATGTATGCTACTATGTATCGTTTACTTATAGACTATGAAATCGGAGTTACAAGAGCTGAAAAATAGAGTATAGCTAGTAAAAATTTTAAGATACCTTTTGGTAAAGAATCAACTGAGGAGGTAGAAAAATTTATCCATGCTTTGTTAACTTTGAGTAAGTAATTTTTTTATTTATATAAGGGTAATCTTTGAATTTGTCGAGTCAGATTCTAATAACGGATTTTTCTAGAATGGAATTATTGTAAATATACAAACTGTCAGCAATAGCCTGCAAAAAAGAAAAAGTAGTGATCTAAACCCCGTTCTATGTGAAGATGGAAGACTAATAAGAAAAACAAACGGGAATTTTAGGGTATATTTAAATCTTCAATTTTTTTCATGTAATTTATTTATTTTCTATATCATTAAAGCTGGCCCCAGTGGCTGATAATCAGTTTACTTTTGCATGTATATTCTGTGAATTTTTTTTTCTGATGTATTGTTATCGATATATATACTATCCCACATATAATTGAGAATTTAACTATGCTAATAAACCAATCTTTTGAATATATTTATATTCTGTATAAAATAATGGCAGATACACAATCTAGAATTGATTCATTAAGTGAAAGAATTTCTAAATTTGAAGAAACAGATAATGATCATATAGCAGTCAGAATTAAAAAACCAAAAGATACAGATAATTTCTTTTAACCAAAATTGAGGCATTTATTGAAAGTGCTGAACATAAAGCTAGAATTGCAAAATTGGAACAGAATGTAACGGTAATTAAAAAGAATTAAAAAAAAAAACTAAATTTCAGAATAAATGCATTCAGATAGCTAAAAAATTCTTAATTGAATATAGTCCTGTTTTTTTGAAAGGATTGGAATTTGACGCCCTTTTTCGCAAATATCAAATTACATTGGAAACGCAAGGAAGCAAGCACCGGTTTCATGATACTAGCTGGTACAAGGTTGTTAAAAAATTCGAAGACATTGTTAATCGTGACCGTCTTAAATGAACAGTTAATGTTAAGGCCGATCTGTTAATTCTGGTCAATTAATCATTATATTGTTAATCTGAGGCACAACATATACGCCTAAAAATACTTCGACACAACCGCAACTAGTTTCTACGCATGTATAATAATGGCAACGAAGATAATGAGCTTTCCTTCCATACTATTTGAAAACATCCATGCGATATAAAACGATTCTTGGAGTCCGCTCTAATAAGGACATCTAATTTAACTCTTCGTTTAACATAATCCCTCCACTGTACTTTTTTAAAATTTACATGAAAAAAAAACACAATGTTAACCAAACCAATTGTAGTATTAGCTTTTTAAGTTTTATATTTTTTACAGCCAATATAATTTTTATTAATTTGTGTCTTACAAGTTATTTTATGCTACCGTATTTGCGCAATAACGCGCATCCGCGCGTTATTTTTGATCTGTGAGTGATATTTCGAATCATTTAACATAATACAAAAAGATATTAAGAACTCATGGCACTTTTTATATCGAACTATTGTGAAATTCAAAGTTGTGAGCTCATTATTTCTAGATTTCATTGTAGAAAGGTTCGCTATATCCAGAGTCGACTGTATATTCTGTATAGCAAATATATAGTATTGTATATATATACAAATTCAGATGTGGTAGGGCGCGTTATTTTGAGACGCACATGGTAGTTATTTTGATTCAAATATGTAATTTTCAAAAAGTGGAAATTTCAAAATAACGCGCAAGCACAGTATGTTAAACAAAAAATCAAATTGGAACGGCCTAAGTAGCCTTTTGAATTTGGTAACATTATTATTGGCGAACGCGCTAGTTTGCATTCTTTCTTCTTGCATGGTACTAGTTATTGGATTCAAGTTTTCAAACAATTCGATGGAGCTTCGCCATTGTTCCCTATGAAGCTCTTATTTTCATTTTTGACGGTTTTTGTCACATTCTCAAAGAACTTTGTGAAATTAAAAAGCTTTCAAAGAAAGGTTAGCTCGATCGTTCCGATTGTTTACATTCAATGCGCTTAATCATCGCCAAAACATTATTTAAACCAAAACCTAAATATCTTATATTCTTCGTATGTGGCTTAGCCGAATACGCGACGAATTTTTTCGAAAGAAACTACTGTACAGATGCCCATTTAAGTGCAATAAAGATTTTTTTTAAAATGGTTAAGGTAATTTTTATTTTGAATGTAAAAAGGAAGTGTTTCTACAGGTATAATCTAGTAAATAATAAAATTTTTTGTTGTCATTTCGATCGTTGCAATGTACTTTACATTTTATATAAGTTATTAAAAGATTTATATAAATAAACCGGGCAAAAACACACAAAATGCGATACATATCCATCCCGCCATATTGTATAATGTATTAGCAATACTAATTTTACCAGTTTTTTCCTTATTATTGTTCTGTTTAGAGTCATTACTTTGTTTGGTATCATCAATATCTTTATTCCAACTAGCAAAAATATCTTCTCCATGAACGTCATTATTGGGATCTGTTACATTTTTTCCTGGAGGAGTTTTTGGAATTGGTAAAATAGTAAATGGTCCCATGACATCCCATATCATACCCAGAGAATTTGTTGGAAATGTTAATTCAATATCAAGGAAGAATAAACTTAAGTTTTGAATATTTGGAGATAGTATGATTTGCACGGGGTAACGAAATGAAGAAATGTTGGTATTTGTTTCATGGTAAAGATTCTAAAATAAACGATTAAAAATTAAGAATGTATTTGAATAAATAAAGATATAATAATAATAATACAAAAATAAAAAAAAAAAAAGTCTTAAATAAGATGAATTCTGACCTGTCGGTAGTCCCATTTCCACTCTTCACCTCTAGTCAAATTTGAAAATAGAATTGCGCTGACCTGATGTAGTGGTACTACACCGTCAACAAAGCACTCTTTACCAAATAATTTCCATGATGCACCTACATCGTCACCAGGTCTAAGTGTATCGCCAGTATGTGGATTTGTGATTTTTACTTGACACGATGATATAGATGCGGATTGTAAAGAGGATGTTTCGGTCGGTGAAACAGTATCAGAAACGGTTGTTTTTTTTAAAGCAACAGGTATTTCGCTTTTTAATGGTGGTGACGTAGTAGTTATACTGTCTGGGTACGATTTCGTTGGCGCTGGTGGTTGACGAGAATGTTTCTGTGCTATTGTAAATACAGCGAATAGGATATTTAATACAAATATGAAGACATGTGGATTTTTTGGGGATAAAACCATTTTAAAGCTATTTCTGGAGAAAGTTATCAAGAAAAAAAAAAATCAAGAATATAAATCAAATAACTTTTTCAAAAGACCCAAGAGATTCAAGTGATATTTTTCAAGATTCATTTGATGATATGATTGAATCAATTAATGAAATTTACATTTTATTTTTTACTTTGATATCAATTCAATTTAAATATTAAATGCCGATTAAAAGTAGACAAATAAAAATCAATGACTTAAAAAGATATTTTTGACGCTTCTATTGTAACTAACTGGCGAAAGTGATTAATATAGTACGTAATTCGTCGCCTTGCCAACAGTTAAGAAAATTTACTATATTTCATCGTGGTGTAACCTAGGATAATCTGATGCTTATTTCATCGAATTTAAATTTACGAAATAACGCTCCAAGATTTTATTTCGAAGCACGCAATTTAAAGGGAGTTAAGAATTAATTTAGTTAAAAAAAATATAGTTATTGTTCACACTCGCTAAATTAATTATTTATTCTCTTTAAAATTGTGTCTCAAAATAACTCCCCGGAACGTTATTTCGCGAAAATACGGTATTGACAAAGATTTGTCACAAGTGAAAACCAGAAAGTTTAAACATAGAATAATATTTTTTATAGAATCTATATTTAGACTTGTAGGTTTTCACTTACGTGCAAGTTTCCGGTTTATATTCTCTGAACATTAATAAATTTACACGTAAAATTAAAGTTAAAAACCGTGTTATAATTATACATGCCGTAAAAACTAGTTGTGGCTGTGCTGAAACTATTTCGACATCGATTTTTTAGTAGAAATAGAACCTCAAGTTATAACTCATGCCGTAATACAAAGCTGAAACCAAAACCTATAATGAATGCCATAATCTAAATTAAAAGCCGAAACTAAATATATAGAAGTTATCGATAGTAAAAAAATATTTTGTTATCAATTTTTTAGTAGAAATAGAGCCGCAACTATTACAACATAAAGCCGAAACCAAAATTTATCTGTTAAGCTTTTGGCACTTTTTGACACTTGCGGCATTAATTTTGGCTTTAGGTATTGACTATTAGTTTTTGCATAGATTTCGGCTTTAGGCCAAAACATAGGTAGAAGTTATTCCTAAATAGTTTCTACGACATGTATAGTTATAATTGTGGATATGACCCAAACTGGTTAGCTTCTAATAGCAAGATTTTACAAGGAATGTTTTTAATAGGTCGCAGAAGTTTGTTCTAAGTTATTATTATTTATTATTATTATTATTATTATTATTGTTATTATTATTATTATTATTATTATATATTATTTATTATATTTTTTATTTTACTTTATATATTTTTATTTTATTTTTAGATTCTAACGTTACCTAATATTAAAATTTGATTGGTCAAAATTAGGATGTAATAACATTCTAAGGAATTGTTATTAGCTAAATGAGTGCTGCAAAAAAAACGTTTGCAAATATTTTAATGTTTCGGACTTAACCTTAGAAAGTATTGAATCCGGTACTATGAGTTTTACTTTGCAGATAATTTCGTTACGATCTAAATAGAATTTATATTAGCATCGAGGATAAACCTTTAAAATAAGCAAAAAGCACCATAATAAAGCTGCACCTATTATATAATAGAAACTAGTGCATCGCGTAATTATATATCATAATACGTACGGATCGGATGATAATCTAATTAAAACGATACCGTAAAATTTAAATATGAATTGTTTTATCGGCCAATGTCCAAACATAACAAAATTGGATAATAAAGTATGGACTTCCAAATCTATCTGTATATCAATCATGATCTGCGAAATGACTATTGCGTCATTGCAACTCAAGTTCCTGAAGGTCATTTTTCTCGAAAAAATCCCGATAAAGTTAATTATGATGCAGACTAATTTAGTCGGTCGGGATTATGTTCTTTCGGGAAAATAACTTCCGGAAAATCATACAGTAACCACTGACGTAACCTAGAAAAAAAAGATACTTTGGTCCTTGAGACGCTAACTTGCAGTTATTAAGGTCTACTGCTAATTCAAGGGCTATTTCGGAGCAATATCGACAAAGAGCGATGAACAAATTTGAGATCGATCAATTGTGTCTTTGTCGTTTTGCGGACCAGCTTGAACACATATATCCGGAGTTACACTAGTGCCAATAAAATAACATTAAGCGATTCCGAAATGAAAAATATACGCGGCTCTCACCAGGTTATCGTTCCAGAAAATGCCCATGTTTTTGAATAAAAAAATATATATTTCTGGTAAAATTCGGCTTTTAATTTAAAAAAGATTAGAAGCCGAACATTACCAGGATTTAATTTTTACCTGGACATTATGTTGTTCGAGAAGGGTAAGATCACACCGGTATGATGAAAATTATAAATCGTGATCTATTGTATATGATATTATAAACAGTGATGTAAATTGGATCCGCAACGTACATAGCGCTCTTCATATATATAATGCGCGTATAAATTCTGCCATACTCTAATTCTAATGCCAGCCCTAATGTTAGCCAACTGCCCCAGTATCGCCACAATCAGATTTCAAGATCAGGTGTAACGTAACACGATCAGTAAAATTCAAAACACGGTCGTTTTGTCAAAAATCGCTTATAACTCAAAATCTGCATAGGAAACAACCTTTCGTGCGTTAAAGTTTTTTGGCGCGATCACGTGTCCGTAGAATTTTGCAGATCATACGAAATAGCGCACGGGGGTGCAATTTCGAATTTGGCTTAAATTAAGTTTAATTCGGGCCAAAGTTCGAAATTACAACGCTGTTCGTTATTTCATGAAAATACTATCAGGCTTATGGTATGGAGGGAAATAACTCGTATACACGCAAAGTTTTGCATTACATAGCAGAAAATGCTATGACTAAGTCGGTTATACTTTAACGAACCTCAATGGTTCGAAATTAATGAAACAATTAGGTTTCACTCTTGTCAGTCTATTTTTTTAGGGATCCCCATTGGCGATCAAAAAGTAGAATAGAATATCGATGTGGGGTAATGAGTATAAAATTTAACTTATTAAAGAAACAAGTAATTATAACTAAAGCAATATATATATATATATACAGCATATAAAATGCAATTATATATATATATCGATATATATGTGTTCTAAATTACAAGTAACTTATTATAACTCTTAGATAAATCTCATTGCAGAACTTTGCTAAAATCGCGTAAAGGTTTTGTAATTATTCTCAAGCTATTTCTTGTCATGTTCCAGTATTGTATTTTCAATACAAGTTTCATTTGATTTAAAGCATTTTTGGACATTGGAAATCTTCCAAGATTGCGATTTAAACTTGTAAAACTCGTTTATCTTATCCACAAAATTATTATCTAATTATATCGATACTTATGAATTGACTAAATTTGTTTATCCATAATCACCGTTTCTACAATGTACATACGTACAAGCAAATTATTGGCAATGTTGTTGTGGCTGTGTATAGATAGATAAGTAGAGTTCATAGTAAACTATTCGTTAACATTGGAGTTAATCCAATTTCGAAGGGAATGGATGATGAAAGATGGGCAATATTATTCGATCGAGAATGTGGGTAAAAAAAAAAAAATTATGCGATTTAGATTTTAAATTATTATTAATGGTGTCAAACTTAAAACATTTTAGATATTCGAGCCGAAGACTATAAACGCTGTTTGCAAGCAGTGAATGATTTTAACATCTTCATCGATGAACTTCCTGATTTGCTTAAGAAAGATACTGTAGTTGAGTTAAGTCAATGCTTTCATTGCCACAAGATTTCACTTTCTCAACAATCTCAAGATGAGGATATGCAACAATGTCATCGACAAAGATATTCACATAACGTCGAAAGAGCTGCTTCTGTGGATGGATTACGCGATACTAAACTAGATATCGCGACTTTAAAATCACTTTTTGAATTGTAAATACTGAATTACAACTTTATTTAATTATAATTAATAATAAATTAATAGTTCTTTTTTTTCAAATAATAGAGTCGGAATGAATTTTGAAGAATTCAATAAATCTGCAAATTATTTCTTTGAACTATATAAAATTTACATTTGTCGAAAGTGTGATGCAATTTCATCTTTACCTGAACATGCTGGATATCGTAGTTCAAATCATAAGCATTCTTATATCTTGACTAGTTTGGATCAGTTGAAAGGCATAAAATTTGACTTATTACATTTCTTTGATATTCTCAAGGATTGTGTGGATTCTTTACGTCCAGAAGCACTCTCTCACAGATGGGACATACATTTTGAGCCTGTTTCGTTGGGAAAAAGAATGTTCTATTCGGGTCATTTCGGAAACACAGACTGGAAAGAATATATTAAAATTGATGGTATGTGTGAATTGTACTCAGTTTATTAGGTAACAATGACGATAGTGATATAACTTTGTTTTTATTTTTAGAATTTCATAAAAGCCACGAAACACTTGAAATATACACCCGATTTCTTGAAACCTTACCAAAAAGGCTATATAACTGGGCACTTTACAAATGTCTCGATTGTAATACGATATCTTCGAATTCAAGAATAGTTGGTCCATGTTGGCAAACAAATAATTGGTTTGATGAAAATCATTATTTCCCTCAGACGCCACATAAATTTGAAAAAATTGAGAATGTTGATATTTTTTTAAATTCAAAAGTTTCATTGAATATATTGGGAAGAGCATATGCACAGAGAAATAATTTGTAAGCAATTTATTTCATATGATAATAAGAAATTTTATTTTATTTTGTAACTAAAAAAGTACGTGTATTAATTAAAATTGACTTTTCCACGTTTAGAAAATCCAAAAATTTACACAATTTTTTACAAGCCATTTTGGGATTTCCTTATTTCGTTAAACATTGCGAGATGTATGCGTGTATCCAATGTGGAAGTCTTTCAATAATGAAGCAAGGCAGTTTATGCAGGTCACCTTACCATAAACACATATTTAATAGAATAATTGATGTATTTCCTTTTTATGATGAACCCATTAATTTGTTTGAATTTCAATATATTCTTCGAACAGCTTTAGATATTACTTATCCTGATAAACCTGTATATAGAACCAATAAAATAAATGGAAATTAAAATAAAATTAAAAATAAATTCATGATAATTACTTCCGATTAACGTTCTATTTTAAGTAAAGTAATTCTGTATTTATAATTATGGTTTACTGTTACAGATATTAAATATATTTATGGATTAATTTTTTCAAGGTTCATGGCTCAAAGTTTATGCACTATCTGCATAATACATTGAGGCATAGAAAAACCATGCTTTCTATATTAGTAGTTATTCTAATATTAAAGAACTAATGAATTAGCTTCAATATAATTTAGAGACCATTGTTAAATTATTGTGAAATTGTTTTTTCTGAACCCATATAGTGGCGGTGAACCAACAGTTAAAGTTTGTCCCATTTATAGCAAGGGGCATAGCCTGATTGGTTATATTAAAAGTCGGTGAAATAACTGTTGATATAACTGTTGGTAAATCCGTATAGTAGATCACGCGACTCACAAATCTGAAATTCACTGAACATCTAAAAGATTACTCCAAAAAATATATTGATTAAAGAATATAAGAATAGATGCGCTATTTATTATTATCCATTATGCATTTATTCTTGTTGTAAATTAAATGCAATAAGTATTTTTCGCGTTGCACACCAAAACAGTATACGTAAACCACCTTGACGATCTTGACCCGAAGTTTCTATTATTGAAATAAATGGCACTATTTATAAATTACTTATTCCGAGGATTTTGATTTGAATTTTTGAAATGCGTAACCCCGAGAATTAGAATGCATCACATAAGGAAACAGTGTGAAATGACATATCGATATCGTATATGCTGTATAACAAATCTTAAACCGTAATTTTGGCAGATTGTGATGTGTAACCAGTAACGTATTATTATGCAGCTATATATATAACTTTGTCCTATTTTGCTATTTCGGGTGCTGAAGATCTACTTGCATTATGCCTCGGCGGGAATACAAAATTGGTTCCACGACATAACTGCCTTCAAATATAGAAGTCGGCAACACAGATATAGGTAAAAAAAATCTTTATTTTTTGTTCGTGTACGTACTATGCTGTCAATGAATTCTCGGAGAGTTTGCGGCTGGTCTTCAAAGTTCTCCAAATTATTTAAAAAAAATAATAAACTCTCTGAAAAGTACTATAATTTGTTATTAGCATAATGAGTCACAATCATACTTCTGACCCTCAGGTGAGTTTTATATTTAATTTTGAATGCTTGAATGAATTTTTTAAATTAATTATTTAAACATCAAAGTTAAATACAAGTGAAGGTGCTCAAAGTACAAATAATGCGGAAGAAATAGAAGAAATTGAGGGTAGTAGTGGCCAAGCTGGCTTAAGTAGTGGCAGTCAAACCCTCGGAGAGTTTTACAAAGAAGTCAGTATAACATTTGCAATAAGTATAAAATAAAGTGCTTCTTTTTTTTTTCTTTTTGTAATATATCGTAATTTATCGAATTTAAACAATTAAAATTTGTGAATTCTGTTTATACAGGTAAATTCCATAACAGAGATGATTCGTTCGATAAGAGACAATCTAACAGCACTCAAAGATTTATATAAAAGAACACTGACCGTAGAAACGGAAGATGAGAGTTCTCGTTGAGCACCGTTCCTAATTTATTACTCATTTCTTTACTATATACAATTCATGGATCATTATTGAATTTATTGCTTAATTGGTTTATTTTATTTGAAATAAACTATTTTAGGAATGTCACGACAAATTGATTTATTAATTTCTGAGACAAGTCGAATAAGCAGCCAAATTAGCCACAAATTGGCAGGTGCGGAATATACAACTTTTTTTTTTTTTTTTTATTGATAAAATTGATTTTTATATTGATAATCTCAACATAGTTATGGAGCAAAGTAACAAATCACTCGAAGGACAAGATCAAGCGCGAAAAAGATTAACACAAGTTTGTTTATATAAACCATCGTACTCTTCATCTTACAATATCATTCTGACATATATTCTAATTAATTCGAGAAGCATGCGACCTTAGCAAAATCATTTATGGATGAAATGACAAGATATCGTAGGATGCAGATGGAAAATGCTGGAAAGTATAGAAATAAAATTGCAGAGCAATACCGTAAAGGTAGATGTCTATTCCGGAATTTATTTATTGGCATTCTGGGAGAAATATTTGCAATAGATAATTTTATTATTTTAATTCATTTTATTTTATCTTAATTTATTTATTATTTTATAGTGAATCCTGATGCCACACAAGAAGAAATCGATCAACTTATAGATAATGACATAAATAAGGTATCTTTCATTACGATTACTGTAATGAACAATTTATTTTAACACTGAATTCACTTAAAATTACTTATATTGAAATCAGATACAATCATCAGAATCATCAGAACAGTCCAATACAATTCTTACAGAAATTAAAGACCGCCAACGTGATGTTCGACGGATTGAAAAATCAATAAATGTATGAATTCCATCATCGTTTATTCGAATTTGAAACATCAAACCTTTTAGATACTCGGACTAACGGGTAGGATTTGGAGAATTTTCAAGGTTATAATCTTGTTGGATGTTTATATATTTAAAATTTCAAGGTTACTTCTACATATACATCCTTCTCTCGCCTAATGTAACCTTGAAGGTTCATCCGATCCTATTTGTATGTTCAAACATTGGTTTGTGGGTTTCTTGCATAATTTGCTGAATGTGTGATATAATATCTTTGCTCGATATACAATTTCCTCTAACGCTAATAATTTACCAACAGGAGTTAAATAAAATGTTTAGTGAAGTTCAAGCATTAGTAATAGAAAAAGACGATATGGTTCACACTACTAAATTTATCGAAGTAACGGACATATCACCAAGTGAACAAATCGAATTCGAACTCCCAAAAAAACGAAAAAGGGTGAGATTTCAATAATCTAATGAAAAGTTTGTACTATATATCATGTTATTAACAATTTTTTATCATACAGAGTAAATTAATGATAATGATAGCTATAATTTTAATTTTAGTAGCTCTTGGTATTATTGTATCATTGATTGTTGTTTTCGCTTTTCTATAATTTATTTTGTTTATTTATTTATTTATTTAGACATAAAGAAATGTTGATTCTTTTTAAACATGTAAATCCAACTTAATTGTACAATAGCTAGATTTAGTCTTATAAATATTATATGGGTAGTTATATGGGTAGTTAAATTTACAATTATGTTTATACATATTCAGATAATTTTGTTTATAGCTTAAGTTCATAGGGTTTGTATTTTAGAATCAGTACTGAATAATCAATCATTTTTATTATTTTGAATATTTATTTATTTGTTAATTATTGGTATTATAAAAACCTCATGAAAAGATTAATAGTGTAAAGTTAATCTTATAACAAAATCGAATTGCTAAATTATATATAATTATGTTGAATATATCATTTTAGTTACTGGTTAAATAGGAGGATAACTATTTTATTTATACTGCTATAAAACAAGAAACAACTTTTCTAAAAAATTGTTCGTTTATACAATTGAATAAGGTACGCGTTTTAGTTTGTATAATGATAAATTTATTCACTAAATTTGATTGTTAAAATTTCTTAAGTTTAAAAACTTTAAAATTAGATAATCATAAATCTATCTAAATTAAGAGTGTCATTATAACTAAATAAAAAAAAAATTTCTTTTTTGGGAACGTGTAACCCTAACACAACAATAACGAAAAAGATGACTATAGATACGCGGAATCCGGAGAAAATCAGATGCTTCCGTTCTTTTTTTTCAATTTATTAACTAAGCATTC